CGAACCGGTAGATGTGGACGTCGCGCGTTTGTCCAATACGGTGGCACCGATCTTGGCACTGCTTGTCCATGGCCGGATTCCAGTCAAGGTCGTAGAAGATCACAGTATCAGCGCCCGTCAGGTTGATACCTAAGCCACCAGATCGGCTGGACAGAATGAACACCAAGATGCGATCGTCGTTGTTGAACCGGTCGGTCAGAATCTGGCGCTGCTCCACTTTGGTTGTACCGTCTAGTCGCAAATACCGGTGCCCATGGATGTTGAGGAACTGCTCCAAAATGTCAAGCATTTTGGTCATCTGCGTGAATATCAAGGCTCGGTGACCACCGGCTTTGAGATCCCGTAGCAACTTATCGAGCCTCTGCAGTTTCCCACAGTCATATTGCAACAGCCTCTTGTCTGGAAAGGCGATTGAAAGACGCATCTGTGCCTCGTGGAACGGATCATATGCAGGGAAACGCTCTTTTTCGGTCAGGTAACGGGTTTCAATAGGAGTCAGAGCTGCCTCTGTGATACCAGAGGCAACTGCAGCTGGCGTAACGCAGGCGAAACGTTTGACGTAACCATCCATGGCTTGGGACCGCTCTCCGATGGACAAAATCATCGATGCGAGAACCGATGACCGATTCGACAACCACTCCGCGAGAGACTGCTTTTGGGGACGACCACTCAGAGTTGGTTTCTGCTTGCTATCCGCAGTGAGAAATTCGACGAGACTAGTCCCATAAACTGGTCGACGGCCATGGCGTTTCGATTCAAAGTAGAGACACCGTTCCAATTCCGCCATCCTGCGTTTTCTGGCGTCGTTCTCTAATGTCTCGAGCGTGGACTGCACCGTAGACCCGTCGAACGTCATTTGCCAATTCGTGCGCTTGTACTGCCGTTCGCGGAGCGTGTTGAAGGGTCCGTAAGCCATAAGCCTAGTACTATCGTCTGCCAACCTTCGTGAGATATCTTCTCTCGAGATAGGAACCAGGTTGAGAAAGTCCAAATCTAGCTTCGTGAGGGGATGTTCATATAGCAACCGCCGCCGAACAAGTAGTTCCTTGTTTGCATATTCAGTGGCCACAGAATGAGGCATCACAAATGACGTCGATATCTGCCGAGTCTCAAAGAGATCCGGGTGGTTACAAACCTTCCGCAGCTGCATCAGACAGTTAATAATAGAGAGGTAATTGCCAGATGCGAGCGTTTCCTTGGTTTGGGCCATGGACATAAACCCATCGTATAAGAATCTCTGCCGTTTCGAGAGTCGGCAATAAACGACGTGCTCATACTTTGCTGGCATCTGCTTCTCGACATCGGCTTTGAGGCGGCGCAAGATGTAAGGACGCAAGACGGTATGGAGTTTCGTAACCACTCGTTTTGTCTCATCATCCATTGTTTCTCTGCCATGCTCCAATATTTGCTCTACAGGGCGCCGGAACCATTCAGAGAAGTTTCTGAGATCAGCAAATCCCTCAATGCCATTCCCGTCACCATCAGAAGGCATCAGGAAGAAGAGAAGAGACCACAGTTCCGTAAGATTGTTCTGAAGCGGTGTACCTGTAAGAAGCAGCCGTGCGCGGGTCCTGAACGTAAGCAGTGTCTGCCACTTTTGTGAGCGGAAGTTCTTGATATTATGAGCTTCATCAAGAACCATATAATGCCAGTTTCTTCTTTTCAGGACCTGCTGGTCCTGCAGAACCAGTTGGTAAGAAGTGATCAATACATTCCAGCTCGTATCGTCGGTCCAACCCTTGCGTTTCTGCCTGCGTTCCTCTATGCTGCCATAGTATGTCATGATCTTGAAACCAGGACACCATTTCTTGAATTCCATCTCCCAATTGAGAATCACGCTCGTTGGGACGACAACCAGATGTGGACCCCAAACCTCATGTTCCACGGCTAGGTGTGCAAGCAAAGCAATCGTCTGAATAGTCTTGCCAAGACCCATTTCATCGGCGAGAATACCATTGATGTGGTTGTTATAGAGTCCGGCAAGCCAATCTAATCCATAATGCTGATACTCTCGCAGAGTTCCCCGGAGCAGATGCGGTATCGGCGTCTTCAAGCCTGGAGCGGGAGATTCACTTGGCTGAGGCGGCTTTTCGCCGGACGCTTCGAAAGAAGAAACAGACTCGGGTTCAGAAGGTTTTGTTGCAAGAGTACCAGGAGATGCTTCGCTAGATGCTCCTCCATTCTGGCGAAGTTCGTGCTCATCCAGATTATTGATCGAAGGGGGAGACTGGTGGCGATGACCTTGTTCCATTGCATCATCCGGTGCGTCGATTACAACTGGATCTTGAAGGAGGGCTATGTCTTCGAGGGGTGCTGGGTCTTCGAGAGGAGCAGCAGCAGTCATGTCGGTATCAACCACTTCAGCTTGTCCAGTTTGCTTTTCATCAGGAGTATCAGTTCCAGGAGAAACTTCAGCCGTTGCCTGAGAGATAGACCCCGAGTTTGAAGGACCATTCGGAACCAGAGAAACTTCATCTGCGTCCTCCAGTTCTTCATCGTCATCGTCGGCTGAAACTGATGGGGCGTCATCGTCAAACCCAGAGCCATCTTCATGATTCAGATCAGCTAAAGAATCATCACCTTCTTCATCGTCAAGGTGGTGAGCATCATTCAACGTAAGATCTTTTGATGAGAAGAACCCTAATAGCCCTGGTTCATCATCGCTTTCCTCATCTGAGTGAGTGTCGCCGGCATCTCCATCCTCATCACTATCGCCCATATCATCATCCATGTCAGTAGATTCGTCTTCGCTATCATCAAGGAGCATTGGATCAACTTCGTCCAGTTCAATCTGCTCCAGCGCCGTTTCGCCCTGAGAATCGTTGATGTCATCAATTTTCTGAGGTGCATGTGGGGTACGTGTGCCATCGGAAGACTCGCTATTGCCGGAAGCCACAGATTCACGGTCTGAAACCAAAGTGGTCTCGGGCAAATCGGCATACTTCTGCCGGAGCTCCTCCGCCGTTAAGCCCTCATCATCGTCAACTTCGTCTTCATCCTCAGCTTCCGAATCCGTGGAGGACATGTTGCTTTCATCCTCTTCCTCATCACTGGAAGTTACATCCGTTTCACTCTCTTCGGCATCTGTTGAATCGGGGAAATCGCTCCCAGTCTCTCCAAGAATTTCCAGGCGCCTTTTCTCGAACAGCATGGTAGATTGCTTGATTGCGCGATCTAGAGCCCGCTGGTCCTCCACTTTCCGCTCTTCCTCCCAGCGTGCTAGACGCACCCGATCAACCTCCGCCCGAGCCAAGTCGAACATTTTCTGAAGATCCTTAGCCAGTTGCTTGCGCTTTCCGCGTATCTCTTCCTGTTGTTCTCTGAGGATATCCTCTGGACGCTTATTGCGCTTCCTCCACGCGTCAGCACACCACTGAGCAAGAAGTCTTGCTGTATTGCGATGACGTCGATGCTCCTGATCAAGAAGCTTCTTGAAGTACAAGGCATGAGCGACGAGGTGGTCTTGATGTGAATATTGTTGCGCTGGTTCTTCTTGTTGTTCCGGTAAGTATGCGGAACATACCTCTGGGCTAAGAAGACCGCCAGGCTCTGTTGCTTCCAACACTTGACACCTCTTCCGAGCTTCCTCGAGTGCTGCCTCGGGCGTAAGGACTGCATCGTCTACTATTCTTCCTTCCCGGCTGTCAAGCCATTCCCTGAAAGAATTATATCTCCGGGGAGGAACCACATGGGAAGGATGCTGAACCCCAATAACAGGCTTCTTGACTTTAATTCGCAGCCTCGGCACCCGCTGATCTCCTAACTCAATCTCATCCCCGATATTGGTCCTCAACTCATCAATTCCACCCGTCCATGTTGAAGTGACGTTCGAGGGGGATCGGTTCGATCGTGCATTGTTCGAAATAGGGCCATTAGGGACTGAAAAGCCTGAACTTTGAGATCTCGTCCGTGAGTGAGTCTGCCTGGATGCTGGTGATTGTGAGATACGGCGTCGTCTGGCGCTTGCGCCTCTCGGAGTTGCAGTCCTCGGCGATCCAGTTGTTAAGTTGCCACTGTTGGGTTTCCCATTTATTCCCGGATGCGACACACTCATGGACAGTGGCGACGAGGCGACGGCCTTCCCACCACCGGAAACATTCTTATTTACGACAGATTTCTGCGCTGCACGCGTTTTTCGCTTGTCTGACGGAGGCTGCAACTCAAGGGGAATCGCATTGACTCGGGAAGACCTCCGCTTCCCATCCTGCAGGAATGAGGTCGGCCCATCGACACCCGCTTTCTTCCAGGGAGGCGACGGTGGTCGGGGCGTTGAACGGCGCGAATTGTCTGGTCCTGCAAGCTTTCGCCTCTTGGATGGAGGCCCCTCGGTCGGATCGGTTGCGACTTCATTTTCCTTGGACTCGGATGGGATTAAATCGCGATTCGTGGAATTAGGTGGGTTGTCTAGAGCAGGAATATCGGAGAGTTTGTCTTCTGTATCAAGAGGCACGCGTTCATCGTTGTGGTGTGATAGACCATTCAAGCTACCGTCTTGCATGTCTTGTTACCACGGACGACAGGGGCCCTCTTTGCGGCTGACCCCAGTTTTCCCAACGAGGACGCGGTCAGACGAGATAGATTTAGCATCAATAGATAGGTATGAACTGGTAGAGATGCCACAGGAAGTTTGGCATAGTTATCGGCACAATAGCGTGGCTGGTAGTTGAAAAAGCACTTTGGTCGACAAAATGTATGAAGGAGTGGTTTTTTCATCTTGTGACGAGGAGTACGAGGAGACGTGTATGTAAGCGCGCCGGCGGGCTCTGGCAGCTGGTGCCTGAGGCGGTAAGGCTCTCTCGCTATCGTTTCCGCAAACCTCCAATTAATCCGAACCCCGTCATTGCACTTCCACTCCCTCTGAGTGAGCCTATTCGCCCTTCTTTTGCTCCCAATCTCCTCAATTCCCCTCTTAACACAGCAAAAAGGTAAGAATCCATCTCCGAGACTGCCTCAATGTTGAATTTTAAGGCCCTTTGAACACCGCTAAGAGTCGCACGCAGATGCTGTCCTCGCGGATTTTGACCCGGCGCCTACCCCAGGTTGCTGCTCGTTTTACCGCTCCCCGCGCCTCGTTTTCACAAGTCCGGAGCCTCTCGGCAGCTGAGATTGATGATCCTTTGCAGGTATGCCGTTTATCTGTGCCCCGGGTGCTGCATCTTTCCCATACTGACACCTTCGGTTCGCTCCTAGAACGGCGGTTATCAGAACCCCCCTCGTGTGAAGCGTGCTTTCAGAGACCCCTACGGCGACTGGTGGGATAAGCAGGAGAGAAGGAACTTTGGCGAGCCCGTTCACGAGGAGAATGAAATTCTCGGCGTCTTCAGTCCCGAGCAATATACCCATGTCACAGCCCGCAAAGGCCTGTTCCAGCTTGGAGCTTTCATTGCAACCTTCCTTAGCCTCTGCGGCATCGTGAGCCTGTACTACCCTGACAAGCCCAGCGTCCCCAAGACTTATCCCGACGGCTTGGAGAAGGAGCTTGGAGGTGCGAGTGCTGTCCCGGTACGTTTATGAATCCAGTCCTCGCAACGTTGGCGGTACCCATGGCTGGTGGCTTGAGAATCGTACTGACATTGATATGCAGGCTCGCAAGGCCAACGAGGACTCTTGGTAGTGGTTTGATTCCATATTGTGTAAATAACTACAGTGCAGTTTTTCTTTTACGATATCAATCAAAATGTCTGATTGTTAATTCACCTAAGTGCTGAAGGGCAATCCTGTGCCTCTATCGTTGCGGGATGAATTATTTTTTTCTCATACTGCCAACATTCAATTGCTAGGGTTCCTTGTCCTATGTGTGACACTGTTGCTATGTCGATCATTGGCTTGCAGGTGTCCATAATGTAGCATGTCCTCAACCAAGACGGACTATTTAAACGAAGACTGCAGAAGATTGGCCATCGAGAGAACGGGAAGATATATGAAAATCAGGTTTCTATGGGCGTCAAGCTACTCTAGAGGTCTCGTCAAGTGTTCCTCCACTGATAACGTCCTAAACCGGAACAAAGAGAAAACATTGATTAAAGTACATACTTACGGCAGAGTATTGTAATGTACTAATATAGCCGCGTTCATATAATCTGCGTTTCAGACTGATACTTAATAATTCACATAGAGGGTTCGTTAGGCAGTCAATACTAAAACGGTAGGAAATCAGATATACTTAGCTCGCGACTAAGACCGACGCTGTGCTGTGGTGTGACACTGTTCGAGGCCCTTGGGCAGAACTGCTCCTGTCACTACGTCAGTTTATTGGGGAAGCTTTGTGTTTCAGGTGCAACAAAAACATCCTCCCGCACCCCTTTCTTAAACAAGCCCACTTCTCTGTTGCTTCTTGAAGGGCCAATCCTCACTCCCATTGCGCATTCCTGCATTCTTGATTCTGCGAATCAACCCTTCATTTCGCGGTTTATGAAAGCTGATTCGACTCAGCACGCGCTGGCTAGTGGTTTGGTCGTGAATCCTCTATCCATGGTCCCACACTCCGCACCTTCCCCTCTCCTTGAGTGCCGTTGAATTTTGAAATAGATAGATACAGACAGAGAGAGAGAATCTCCTCATGTCGACATCATCCACTCAGTCCCGAGGCATCAACCGACGGATTAACAGTCTTCAGAATGAAGTTCGTCATTCCCGCAATCTGTCTGCCTCGCGCAGGCGCCCGGTGAACTCTTCGGCCGCCTACAGTTATGCTCTACGAGTCGCTTATCTCACCTATCTGTTGAGTCCTCGCTCTCGTCGCATACAGAATGTATCTGCGGCTCCGCAGTCGCGCCCGAAACGGGCGTCAACCTCCTTCCATGATTTGATGAGCGATTTCTCGCTGGTTAGAGATTCGAAGAGCACGCGGTTCCCCAATGGCTTCGTGTCCGAGCTTGAGAAGAGATTGACGGGAGTTCTTATGGGGAAAGAGAGAAGGAAGGAATATCAAGATCACCTGGTTGTGAGGACATTCGCCGCGTTTCTCAACACTTTGAAAGATCAGTCGTTCAAGAAGCGGATGGAGAAGGATCGCCGAGCGGAGGATCTCGTCCTTATTTTCTACTCAAATGCAACAAAAGAGCTGAGTAAGGGGAAAGATTCGGATGACGATAGTTGGAAATTTATGGTGGATAGACATGTCGCCCTTTTCGTTCGACTGTTTGCGCTGATTCTGAAAGACCATGACTGGGACAAGGATCGGCCTGAATTGGCAAACAGGCTATCTGTTCTAGAGAACAAGCTTCTTTCCCAAGATCATGATCTTATGCAAGCGAGCGGTCCGACAACGACGGTTGAGACCACGACTTCCCTCAGCTACGATGTTAGAGACATGCCCCTTGTGCAGCATGTCGCGAAGATATTCGGCATAAGTACGCAGCAGGTCCAATCTGACATCGACAAGAACAGAGGCGTATGGACTGAAAAGGCAGCTCTTCAGGACTTGAAAACTTATCAGGCTCACCTGAATCTCCAGACGCGGAAGACTCTATCCAAGGAAGATTTTGACAACGAAGAAGCTTATGAACACTGGAAAAAGAGTGAGGGCCCAGATTTGTCGCAAATGATGCTGGCTATCGTACAGTCAAATCCAGAGCTCGCAAAAAGTACCCCAGGTGGTGCACTTCCGCAGTTCAATGCGAATGCCGGTGACCAGTGCAACGATCCAAACGCTGGACCACTATCTCGAACAATGTCTGACCGACCGGTGTCCTACGTGATCGACCAACCTATCGACCTGAGTTCCCTGTCGTTGTCTGATGACCCAAATAATAATTCTGAGGAATCTGATACATACACGTTCATACCGTCGGATTCAAGATCAATGTACAAATTCATTCTGGGTTTGACACTGAGTCACGACCTAAAGGATCGCGAAATCGAAGCTACGCAAGCTACTTCGGAAACACCATCAATGAAGCTACTCTCCAAACAGTCCACAGAACTACTGAATGAAGTATGCCTTCGCTGGCGAATACCTAGCTTTTCCAGGGTCGTATTGTTCCTGGACATCATAAGAACAAAGTTCGTGGACAACGAGATTGATCTTGACACCCTTGATTCTGCCTTTACATTTGTTAAAGAGACACCTCCATCAGAGGGCAAGAAACGACATAGTTTTATGGCCTCTGTTGTATTTGACAGGAGCAAATGGACAATCCAGGATCTTCTGTTGATGCAACAGCTACTATCCTCTCTCCACGAAGCTTTACTCCGGGAACTGTACGATGTAATGATGGATTGTTTTGAAGCTAAGCCTCGTCCAATTGGCCCGGTGATGTACGTCTTGGAGAACCACATACAGCTCGACCCGAACTACACCGAAGACTTGGAAGATATCGATCGTTTCCGCTCCTATGTGCAGGACGGTCTCGCGCAAAAAGCAACTGAGAAGTACCAAGAACTTTTAGGGCAGATTGTCCCGGTGGAGGCGGAGACCTGGGAGCCAAACCACGTCATCCAGCTCGGCGATGCCATCATGAAACTCGCACAGAAGATAAGGAAGCGATATCGAAACAATCCGGAAATTATGGGGTAAGAGGCTAATCCTCAGTAGCGCACTCTTCAAGACTGACAGAATTTAGTGTGAATCCCTATAACATTCTACTTACAAATATCCTCCCTATATTTGCGGAAGACGCCCATGAGATGGTCGTCAGAATTGTGGAACAAGCCAAATCGAGAGGGGAGGATGTTGAGCTGGAAGATGGCTTTGACTTGTATAAACAATTGACAGCGACGCGCCGGCTCTTCGTAGAGGCCTTTCCTGAGTAAGACATCCAAACTTTGCAACGATGTATTTGTTGCTAACACAGGGACAGTGTCGCGTTCCCTTTCCACGTGGAAAGTCTTCTGGAAGACTTTGTATGGCGCTGGATTCGCTTAACTGATCAGAAGATCATGGACTGGGTTGAGCAGGCAGTTAGACAAGATTCCTTCACTGTCCGAGCTGGTGACTGGACAGATATGGTTCCTGAAGACCACCGACACAGCGTGTCGGTAATCGACATATTCCGCTCTCTCAATCAAGTGATTGAGCAGATGATTCAACTGGGGTGGGATGATGACTTGCAGTACGCAAAATTTATGACTGCCCTTTCTAAGTCCATCGGGAAGGGTGTAGCACGATACTGCGAATCGTTGGAACAAATGTTTTCCAGAGAAATGGATCGACTATCTCCTGATCAAGAGGCAGCGATGAACCAGACGACTCAGGAAAAGATAATGCAAATGGCGAAGGAAGCATGGACGAGCAAGGAGAAAATTGAGCCTTTCCAATTCTTTCCTGAGGTAAGCTTGCGGTATCATTTAAGGTGCTTCGCCTGGTCTCGGATATCTGACCAAGAATGATAGTCTCTCGTCAAACTGAATAACATCGAATATGCCCTCTCGCAGCTCGACAGGCTTGAGCGTGAGATCAATGTCGATGGATGTGCGGAAGTGATCGCACAGCATGCGGCCCCGCAGCTACAGAAAATCCGCAGATCAACAACCTACGTTTTCACAATCAAGGTCGTGGAAGCCGAAGATCTCAAAGCCTGCGACATGAATGGCGGCAGTGATCCCTACGTTGTTCTCACAGATGAGTATCAGAGGCGAATTGCGAAGACTCGAATCATCTACAACAACCTGAACCCACGATGGGACGATGCTGTCGACATAACAACACAAGGACCGCTAAATATCATTGCGACAATTTGGGATTGGGATGCAGTTGGTGATCACGATTATGTTGGTCGCACTTCGATCAAACTCGATCCCGTGCATTTCAGTGATTTTCTTCCGAGGGAGTATTGGCTTGATCTAGATACCCAGGGCAGACTGCTGCTTCGTGTCAGCATGGAAGGCGAGCGTGATGACATCCAGTTCTATTTTGGCAAAGCGTTCCGGACATTAAAACGTACGGAAAGGGATATGACTCGCAAGATCACAGAAAAGGTAGGTCATCCTTCCATAGCCGACCGACTGGTCTTCGGGACATTGACGATTCTTCCAGCTTTCTGCGTACATCAGTCATTGCTTGTCTCGACGAACTCTCAAATCCTTGTTGTCTAGAGGTCTCAGCATCTCTAGTGTGTCTAACTTCTTGAGCCGAAATCGCCCGCAATACGCTACAACGGCTCCGTCCGCTATAGAAGTGGAGAATGCACTCAAACCACTTTTTGACTATTTTAACGATAACTTTGCAATCATGAACAAAACCCTTACGTCTGAAGCAATGAAAATGGTCATGGCGCGCCTGTGGAAAGAGGTTCTTGCAACCATCGAAAGCTTGCTGGTTCCTCCATTGTCGGACAAACCTTCTCATCAGAAACCTCTTACGATGCAAGAAGTTGATATTGTGTCGCGTTGGCTTGTGCTTCTCTTGAATTTCTTCCATGCTGTTGATGAGGAAACTGGCGAAGCCCACGGCGTCTCACTTGATATTCTGAAATCACCTAAGTACCACGAGATCCAGACCCTGAACTTTTTCTATTTTGAACCTACGGAGAGCTTGATCCGTACTTCTGAGCGCATGGCATCAGCGACGATATCACGGCAGCAGGCGAATAAGAACCGAGTGTCAGCGCCACCACATATCGGATCTGGGGGAACTGGCAGTATCTTTGGGGTGCCCAATACACGGCGAGTCAAGAGCATCATGCTGTCGCGGAATCTCGGGACAATGAAAAAGATGAAAGAGGAGAGAAGGCGTGAGGCTCAGGCAGAACCGAATGATGATATGATTTTACGGATTCTCCGTATGAGACCAGAAGCAGCTGGATATCTACGTGATCGAAGCCGTCAAAAGGAAAGGCTCGCAGCTGCTGCTGCTGCGGATGCTATCGTGAAGCAAAGTCTTATGGCAGGTATGGGTGGAAGAATGACGGGCACTCTTGGACGAAGATAACTTGGGAGGGTGCCAGCATGATTGTGTCTATTACTGAATATCCTTTTCTCGCGCTTGTCGTCCTCGTCTGCATTTCTGCGTTTCAGCATCATTCAACCACATGATGTTTATGATTCCCAATCTTTGTTTGCTTGGCGAGTTTCAGATGCACTTATGTTTATTTCGCGGGATTGATGGCATTGAATATGAAACCTAGTTACAAACATATAACGAGGAACTAATTGTTAATGAGGTTATAATCCACCGACGACTGGAGCTATTTCATCAGAGTTGAATTTCATTCGTCTCTCATTTCAGAGAAATCCGTCTACTTATGCAGCCTTTTCCTGGTGAGATGATCTGGTTTACTCCAGAGCAATGCACTCAATCTCGACCGGCACCCCCTTAGGCAGTTGAGCAACAGCAACACAGCTACGAGCAGGCTTGTGTGTGAAGAACTTCTCATAAGTAGCGTTCATCTCGGCGAAGTTGGCCATATCAGTGATGAAGACCTGTGAAAAGCCCGAACAATCTCAGAGTCAGCACCAACCCGACACTCCCCAGAATTGTTGAATCACGAGCATAACGCAAGTGGTGGTAACGCACATTGACCTTGACGACCTTGTCGACGCTGGATCCGGCAGCGTCCAGAATGGCCTTGATGTTGTTGCAGCAGACCTGTGTCTTTTCGCCGATGTTGCCCTCGACGAGGTTGCCGGTAGCGTCAGCGGGGATCTGGCCGGAGACGAAGAGCTGGCCGTTGGCACGGATGGCTTGGGACTAAAGACGTTTGGCTCAGAGTCAATTGCTGTGTCTTGGATTCATAGGTATTGGTATGGGGAAGTAGTTTGTAGTTTCGAACGTTCGACTTTGGGGTTGGGTGTAGGGCTTACGTAGGGGCCGGCAGCTAAAGTAGCGATCAAATGATTAGCATACTTGCTCTCATGTTGTTTCCTACACCGGGACAGTAGCCCGGAAGGTCAATGGTGGACCAGACTTACGAGGGCAGGCATCCTTTGCGAAAATGGGAGTCATGCCAGACATGTTGACGGATTGGCGGTGAAATCGGGCCTGGTAGGTGCGTGAAATAGTGTATTGAGCAGAGAATCGAGGAGATGAGGTTACAAGACGAGATAGAGGTGAAAAGTGGTAGAGGGAGAGAAGACGAGAGCTGCTTTTAAGCATGAGGGGCGGAGGGGTTGTGTGAAGTTAGCTCTATCTATTCCGCGGGAAAGTTGTTGATGGTTCGCACCCCCCACTGACATTATTCCCCACCAAATAATGTCATAAGAAAGGCGCACCTTATCGGAGGACCACTTAGTACCGCTCGAATTATACGCCAGGTTAAAATGCTTCAAAGCTAAGGACAAGAAGTCAAATGGTATGTAGACTAGTATACAAGGTCATCACATTCAAATCATGACGTCGTTAGGAAGAGTAGTGATTACCGCATTGGCAAGGTAGACCAGGGCTTTCCAATGAGTACTTCGAGACAATTACTGTTATGTCTCGAGTTATGATGGCTTGCTTGGCACTAGACTGCCCAATTTGTGCAGAAACGATGCAGTCTGCTCCGGTGAGAACCCGAAGAAAACCGGTCCATTGAAGACGATGTTTGCGGACGAGGTCGGGTTGATTTGGCCTGCACGGAAAGAATCATCCGCGCTGTCTTCGTGAGGGGGGCGAGCGGTGTCTGGGGCTTCGCTCTTGCTCGCTTCGTTACGGACGGTTTCATTGTCCAGATCGTGCCCTGGGTCGTTCGTCTTGGGAGCATCATGGCCGAAAGGACACCGACCAGTTCCCATGCCAGAAAAGGAGATTTTGGCAGGGTCCGCAGGCAGGACGGTAGGGTCCGCAGCAGCAGCAAGGTTAGATGGTTCATTCAATGGCTGTTCGGCAGAGACTGAGGGCGGAGCAGGCGGCGAGTGCATGGCAGATGTGAAAGAAGGTTGGCGAACTGGAACCGGTATTCCCCAAGGCCTGCTTGGAGACTCGCCAACACGCACCTCGCGCAGAGGACGGTCAAAATGTCCCTTTCTCTCATCATCATCGTCTGAGCCTGGTGCTTCTTCTTTGGCAGAGCTGGGTTTTTCTCGCTCAGGCGATTTCATTTCAACATCTTCCGCCCATTTCTCAACGCGTTCTGCGGATGAACTAGATGCTGGTGTGCCGTTCTGGCTATGGCCCGGCAGGAACGCTTGATGTTTGACCGACAAGCCTTGGATCATATTGATAAGATTACCATACTTTGCGTCGAGTTGCCGCATCGTTTGAGAATCTCTCTGGTAACGCTGAACGCATATTGCATGGCTGCGCGGGATCTCGTGCTTGTGTCTCTCGACGTAGTCGGCAATTTCCTCCGGACTATGCTTGTCCATGAATCTGATGGGACACCTAGAAACAGGGCATCTGGTTGAACTTGACTTCGCGGATGTCGTTAAACTAGAGCGTCTATCATTCTGTTCGGCTTTAATGGGATCGAGGTCCTCGTGCCCGCACGTATCACCGTTCTGGGTAGCAAAGGCATTCTCAATCCCGTTAGACTCCCCATTTTCAGAGGGCTTATTGTTAGGCTTCGCAAAGGGACAACGCAAACTTCCCTGCGTGCCCTTGGTGGTGAAGTCTTTTTCTAGGTTGCCCGATACGCCAGCTCTCGTCGCAACATAACATGAATTGAGCTCGGAGAGCTGCTTATCATCGTCGGACCGATTTATTGATCTGCAGCACTCCAGTCCTTCCTTTATGGCAGTAAGTGCCTCGCTTCCTACGTTTCCAGATTCTGCAAGTGCCTTGATTACATCCAGGGGATTTAGGGACTGGTTATGAAGAGGATCGTATTCGGGTTGTCGACCGAGTATCTTCTCTGCAACGATCTTGGTGTGTGTATTGGTTCCATTAGGAAGTTGGTCTGCTAACTTGAGGTACTATTGCACATGATGTCAGCATACGTGTGATTTGTAATAGTGCCATCGACAACAGAAGTGATTCAAGGTCTCATCAGATAATACATGACTTATCCGTCACCGCCGCAAAAGCGACTCCTGATCTAGAGCTAATCGATTTTCTCGTCATTTGAGACAACAGGGGAAGGGTATTGGCAACAGGAACGCAAGTGGAAATATGAATTTACCTCATCATGTGCATATTTCAGTCTCTGGTGCAGAACTCTTTCCTTGCAGCCTAGGTGTTGAATGGTAAGCAAGAGAGCTTCGAGAGATCGAGCTAGAGTTTGCAGCTGCAGATCCTGCTGCATTTCATCGACAGCAGAGGCGGGTGACATATTGCTCTGAGTGGGAATATTTACAAAGTATGAGACAGCACATCTGACAGTCTCGTGTAGCACATTCTGCTTGACGCAGAAGCGCGGCTTGGAAAATTATAAAAGAGAGCAGTGAGATGGAGAAGAAAACGTGGTTTTTGTACTGATGCCTGGAGCTGTTTTAGCGTACTTCTAAGCGAGCTGGTCCGTGCGTTGGTGTCACGTGGTATCTGCTCGCTCAGCAAGTATATCGGCGTCTCCAAGATCATGAACTATCTGCTAAGTATGCTATCATGTCTCGAATCTGATAAATGGCGTTTCCCTGTTTGATATCGGATCCATTTATCGCTACTACTGCGTTGATTATACAACTACTTGACGTGTCTGTCCGTTGGGCGAAATTCGTGAGTCTTTGGAACTTGTTCGCTTGATATTGGTATATCTCCCATCCATATGCTTTTCTCTCTGGCAAAACCCTGTCCATGATGTCTCTGTATGGTGCGTTCTCTGTATGCTTATTGGAGTCCGCATTGTACTTCCCCATGCTGCTATCAAAGGATGTTATGTCTCTACCAATGCTGCACAATCTGCGTGTGGCTTATTTGACGTTTCTATGCATTCCATTGTTTAGGCATGGGAAACAAACCCGTGCGAATATATGTCGTTCCACGAGTCCCATGCAAAATCAACCAACATCGCGCTGAGCGAGAAATATTAATTGGAATCCTACATATAGTAGTTGTCAAGCTAGTACACTTCGGGTATATATTCTCAACCGTAGGATCAGATCCAGCTTTGCAAATTCGCGATGCAGACTTTACTGCTTATGTAGCAATACTTGTTGCTACATGTCATTAAAGCGGCAGCCGGGCTAGCTCAATCGGTAGAGCGTGAGACTCTTAATCTCAAGGTTGCGGGTTCGACCCCCGCGTTCGGCTTTCATTTTTGTTTTCTGTTGATATATTTTGAAAATAGATTATCAAGACTTTCTTTTGCCGCCGCACTAAAGCAGCGGCCGGGCTAGCTCAATCGGTAGAGCGTGAGACTCTTAATCTCAAGGTTGCGGGTTCGACCCCCGCGTTCGGCTTTCTCTTTTTTTTTTCTTCATTCTGGCCTGGCAATACAATGGACAACCCTTACGTTATTACAAATCCTACCCCTCCTCGACTACCCGTCGATTGCGATTACTTCGAACCATCAGACGGGTTAACTATCAAGGGGTTTGCGGGCATCCGACGGGTCACAGAGCAAGCAGTCAAGGCGGGCCTGGTGTAAGGAATCTAGCCGCATTCTAGATCTCCCAAAAGGCCAAAAGCCCAATATATTAATTCGGACCTATATAGTAGCGCACAGGGTAGATTCCTTACACCTGGTCTCGTGTCTTCAAGCAACCAGACTGGCGTAGGAAGCAAGGAGGAGACCGCCAGGACCCGATAGCTTAGTGGCTTGAGGACCTCAATTACAGCAGATGCCTCAAATGACCGCTGCTCAATGAACTTGATTACTCAGTAGGATCATTAATCCCCCTGTCCAGCAAGAAGGACATGCGGCTCAACAGCCAACAATAGTCGGATCCCCCTTAAGGATTGATACTCTGTTCACGATCGCTTAATTCCCCCTTGTAGAGCGGCTATGCCATGAAACGGTCACTAAAGCAGCAGCCGGGCTAGCTCAATCGGTAGAGCGTGAGACTCTTAATCTCAAGGCTGCGGGTTCGACCCCCGCGTTCGGCTTGATTTTTTACCTGATTCAGTTACACTCATTTTTTCTGCTGCTCAAATTGGACCAAGTTACGGAGTAGTAGGGGTAGAGGCGTATTTATGCGGTCCCGCGACAGCCCCTGACCTTCGAACTTGTCCAGTCCGGGTGCCCTACTCCATCGCTATCCAACGAAAGCTTATCAAATACTCCGTAGATCGACACTATTCATGAAGTCAGGCAGAAATAACCCACAGGAAGTCAAAGTAACAAAGGTCCGATCTCCCAAGTGTTCCAAACATCGGTTTGTCCGTGATACAACTCTGAGCCCCAACATGCGACAGCCATATTAGATCCCCATGTACGCCACGCATGAGTAGTGTGCAGCAGACTCGAAAATGCATGATGGCTGCAGCCGCTGCAGGGCGGGAACATTGCTGTAACTGTGCCTGTATGAGCCTATGAGGTATGTAGCACGGTAGCACCGCGACAGGCTTCACGGATGTCAAGTATCAGGCAGGTACAGGACCCTTTGCGTAATCTTACTTCCAGGTACCACCACCTTTTGTCCCGATTTGTCCTAATGACAGGGACTGTTATTGTTGTCACAGGGCGAGGCGTATGGATCACTAGGCCCTTGCGCACGCTAAGGTACCTAGGCAGTAAATGACTGAATTGTCAAGAACATGTACGGACTATCTACAGAATTCCTCTTCATTAATTAAATCTGTCGGAGGTTCCTGGTTACATACGAGCTCCTCTGATGCTCAGAGACTAAGAGAAGGCTAATCAAACATCCCTACAATTCCAACCACATCCTGACGGAACCGAGATTATTGAAAGAACAATGATGGCGTCCTGAAGTGGTCTGGCGAGGAGAGTAGATTCCGTAGTGCGGAAACGACAGAAGCTAGTCCATTCGGACAATCCGAGTGTTGCACGATGGACAATGAACCCTTGCTAGACGGGTGTTCCATCGGATATTAACCCATCAGTATTGATACATTTCCCCATGATCATTGAAGTGAAAGTGGACAAGCTGTCCTTGTCAGCATTCGAGCCTGATCTTTGACTATCCGGAGTGATTGTTGCTCAGTCTTATTCGTCGCAATTGCCCGATCTAAGCTGCAAGCCATAAGTTGTATGATACCAAACGGGTGTGATTCCTCGATGAATCTATCTACGCCCTCTCATGGAGTCATGCTTTCCGGATGCCACTCTGACCTTT